AACAAATTCATCAAAGGTCTTGCCAATGCACTAAAATCCATAATGAAACAACGATAAAAACCTACATGACCAAGAAATGACATAATGTCCTTGACTACACTTGGAGTGGGTAGGTTGGAATTCACTTCCACTTTAGACTTGTCCATTTCAATTCCCTTTGCAGACACAATGTGTCCGAGCACAATCCCTTGTGTTACCATGAAGTGGCACTTCTCCTAGTTAAGCACCAAATTCTTCTCTTCACATCTCTCTAATATTTTTTGCAAATTCTCCAAACAATCTTCAAAGGAGTCACCAAACACTGAGAAGTCGTCTATGAACACCTCCACAATCTTTCCCACTATATCACTGAATATTCCCATCATATATCTTTGAGAAGTTTTCGAGGCATTGCACAAGCCAAATGGCATTCGACGATAGGCATATGTTCCAAAGGGGCATGTGAATGTGGTCTTGTCTTGATCCTCCAAGGCGATCTCTATCTGATTGTAGGCTGAGTAGCCATCTAAGATGTAATAGAAAAGATGCCTAACTACCCTCTCCAACACTTGATCAAGGAATGGTAAAGGAAAGTGATTCTTTCGAGTGCATGAGTTAAGCTTCTAGTAATCATTGCAAACTCTCCAACCCCTGACTTGATCCGAAATGTGCACACCCAAGTGCAGGCGGTCAAGCTGTAGTAATAATTTGGTTAAGTCCAGAGTCGAATCCACATGAAACTATGGTTGGTGTTGCGAAGTGAGCAGTAGTAGAGACCAAGTAACTGGAAACCTTGAGAGTTTGAAGTTATGGAATTTCTTTGAATAGAATAGAAAATTCTCGACAAGAGTTTTCTAGACAAAATATAAGATCAGTTCAAATGTAAAACAATCACTCTTTAGCTTTAGAATCAGAACATGTAGTTAGTTATTTGGTTTATTATACATGTGTTTTATAACTCAATTAACTCCCATGTCAACAGTAAGTTAATCGAAAAATAAAGATGGACTATGAGAATTAAGCACATGATTCTGATGTCTTTCTAGAAGTTGACAAGAATTGGTTGTGCCGAGATTTAACCCGTCTACAAACAAGCAAGTGTTTCTACAAGGCATCCAACCATGGCATTAATGTTCCATTCTTTAGATAAAGCTCAATAACGGTGAAGATTGAAAAGTTGTCATGAAGATCTAGCCGGGGTACTTGCCTTGAACCAATAGGTCTTTCTATGCAAGAGTCATTCGTGACATAGAAAGAACCCATAGTTATACAAAGTACCTTAGCTTTGGTAGATACATTCAATCATTCAATAAGTGAAATATAAAGCATTAAAGCATGTAGGAAATGCACAAATATAACTTCCGTATAATCAACACATATTCATCACCTTTTACTAAAGAGTGAATGAGGAACTACTCACTCTTCATGGCTTGGGTAAAGCTAAAAAGTGAGTGATATTCATCCCTCCAAGTAGAGAACTTACAAAGTAAAGTACAATAAGCGAGGAGCCGTTCTTCGATGAAAAATGAGTGAATTACGTTCCACCCTTCACGGCTTTGGTAAAGCTCTAGAAAAGTGGAAGAGTTTCACTCTTCTAAGAAGGAACGAAGCTCAAGCAATGGAAGTGAAATAAAAGAACATTGAAAGTAAAAGAAAGCTAGTTACTCTTGGAGGGTGACTTCCTCAACCAAAAGATGGAGGGTTGCTTCCTCAACCAACAAGTGGAGGGTTGCTTCCTCAACCAACAAATGGAGGGTTGGTTCCTCAACTAAGAGATGTAACACAAGCAAATATAACATACATCTAAGATTAATCAAAATGAGTGGGAGTCCAAGCCTCCATACAAAATCCTTACTAGTTCTTGGTGTAGTCTGAGCCTATAAACCAAGCTCAAGCTCCTTACTTTACAAGAGAAAGATTGCCCCTGAAGCTCCTTTAATGGGAGAATTTATAGGCAAGGAAGGGGAGGGGGGAGATAAGAGAGGATGAATGAATAGTGTATGCCACCCATAAAAGCCAACTACTGTGCAGGCAGTTTATGGAGGACGTTCGAACGTGAGTTGACGTTTGAATGTTGTCTGACGTTCAAACGTGTCTTCTGTTTTTGCTTTAGGGGCATTTGAATGCCAAATGGAATGTGACCACATCACTCAAGTGGTCTTGGTCTTCTGTGGAAACCCACTTCCACACTCCATGTAGGACTTGGAGTTTTGCACTCATCACTATGGTCTTCAGTCAAATCATGTGAACGTTCAAATGGTAGTTGGCATTCGAACGTGGTACTCAAGTACTTCAGGACCTGCCTTCTTGACTACAACACGCCAGGTCTCAGTAGTCTAGTCTCCTCATAGTTCAAGTGGACGTTCGAACGTGAGTTGTTCGAACGTGCTTGATTTGTTCTAACCTTCTCCAATTTTGTTCCCTAATGCACTGGTGTTACACTCAAGCGTGATATTTGTTGTTCTTGAGCTTTTGTTCACTTTAGGTCTTGAAATGTCATCACATAAACTCCATCAAAGCATAATTAGTCCCAAAAAGGCATAGTAAAATGCTAACTTTAAGCACTAATCAACCACTCTTGTCAAAATCAACTCATTCTCCTCATTTTCCACTATAGTCATTCCCGACTTCTTTGGTACCACTTGCATGGGACAAACCAATTTACAGTCGACAATCGAAAAAATAATGCCCATGTCAAGTAGTTTGAGGACTTCATCTCTAACTACATCATTAATGAGAGGATTGAGCCTCCTTTTTGGTTGTTGGGATCGCTTGGTGTATTCTTCAAGATAGACTCTATGAGTGAAAATGAGCGGGCTAATTCCCTTGATGTCAGCTATGGTCCAACCGATGGCTCCATTATGCTTTCTCAAGACTCGTAACAATGTATCCTCTTGCTTTATCTCCAATGAGGAGTTTATCACCACTGGGAATGTTTGGTGCTACCCCAAGAATGCATATTTCAGTTTGGATGGCAATGACTTCAACTCTAAATGGGTGGTTACACTGTTGACAAAAATCTAAGCTTTCTCTCCCTAAAACTATCTATTCTTCCTCAAGCTTCTCTCACTACGATGCAATACCACCAAAATAATGCCCAAAGATACTTGCCTTTTCATCCATGGAACTCCTATGGCATGTATGATAGCCCTCCCATCCATATGAGGTTGTGTTGATGGCATTGGGTAGGCAATGACAGGCCTACCATGCCCTTCCCAGGCTAGCCCCTTCTCTCTCATCCTCATTAATGCTTGAGCCTCCAAAGTCCAAGCATGGGTGTGTTGTGGCATATGGATATGTAAGGGATGTAAGGGGATAAGTGGGAGAATGATAGGTGGGACCCCCAAATGGCAGAGCTTGAGTTGCAGGTTATCTGGGCATTATGGGCAAAACCTTCTAGAAGGCCGATGCAAACCTTCCAGAAGGTTTGTGTAGGAACAGTTAAAACAATAGTCCAATAAGCAAAACCTTCTGGAAGGTTTTCATCCAATTTGCCTTTTTCGTGGTTTCTTTACCTTCCAATCGTTCCTTTATGCTATCCCCTTATCTTCGTTGACTTCAAACATTATGATGGGAGCTTAACTGAAGCCATTTACAACTTTTCACCTACATACACACAAAACTTCATTAAAGAGAAGATGAAACACATTTCTCCCCAAATTCATAATAAAAACAAGTATAAAAGGGCATAACAACATATACAATATATGCAATGTTTTGTGCTAATCACGCCCTCCAACTTGAGTTTTGCTAGGCCCTAGCAAACTACATTTTAAATCACAAGATATAAACTACAACAAAATCCATCCATGCAAGTAACTATTCAACCACTCAAAATGCAAAAATCACATTGCAATTAAAGAAATGGACTTGGGGAATGATAAAATGTAACAGTTGTGGTATTTTCATTGATCATTCTAAAAAGTTTAGTACAATGAGTTAGTGTTTAAAAAAAAAATGGCCAAACATCTTAGAGAAACTTCTACAAGGTTGACAAACTAACCCTAACTGTACAACCTAAAACCAAAAGAAAACAAAATACGAAGGACATCCTAATCATCAGTCTTATCCCTATCATCATAAAACTCATCCTAATCCTTAGCCTTACTCTCCTCATCATCATCATCATAGGTCTCTCCTACCTCAACAAGTGTAGAAGATATAGGAGCTAAAGTTGATGGTCCAGTAGGAAGTGACGAAGGTTCACTAAGGATGGGCTTGCCCGAGAACGTATCCTGGAATAGCCACATCATCATCATCGACAGCCCGTACATAGTTGACTCCAAGGCATCCATACGTTACGACATGGTGCGGGCTGGGGTAGATGCAGGAGGTGTTGAAGTCGGTGGCCCTATAGTGGATGGCTCTGGCCCTAAGGCTTTGGGTCTCTCTCCCCCCCTCCTAGCTGCCCTCTTATTGCTGTTTGACTTTTTGATGGCACCAGTCTCTGGGGTAGCAGAGTATCGTGTGCATAGGACTTCACATTGTAGTCGTCGCACATACGGGTGACAAAACTCTCGAAGGAGAGATTTGCCTTCGACTTTGTAGCCTTGGCGAATTCCCGTATCTCCACCTAAATCAACAATGCCACATCCATTGTCTTCTCAGTCATGAATGCATGGAGGAGGGAAAGCTTCACGATATTTGGGCGCTTCTCTAAGCCTTGGGGCATCAAATTGTAGTGAAACACCTTGTTCATCACCCCATAGGAGTGCTTGAGGCCCCCGACCAAAGTTGTTCCTTTGAAGGTGGTCGGGTCCTCGTAGGTAAGCCTCACATAGTCGGCGAGAGTCCTACCCCCTTTCAACGTTATGTGCGTAGATTACGGTAGTAGGGGGAGGCCTCCTATACCCCATCACTGTGGCAATCAACTCAGGGGTCACCTCAAAAGTCTTCCTCCTCACATTGGTCCTTAACCTACTACCGTCCTCGCCAAACACCGTAAATTTGTTGTAAAACTCTTTACATATCCCCAGATTATAGTCCTTCACCTCCTCAAATCAAAAATTCAACCCACTTACCTTAATCACCTTCACAACATCATCATTTGGCGTGAGAGAGATTTTATCTACATACCTCTCGCACATGACATTTTTTTCAACTATTCTTTGTCTACGTGCATCGTGCTTTGGCTTAGTCCTCCTCTCTTCCCTATCTTGGCCACTAGGGCCTTCTCTGGTCTTCTTGTTAGAGCTACTGCCCTTAGCAGGTGGGGTCTCAAGGCCTGTTCTCTTGGTGCGAGACAGGAGGGACAACAGTACCCCAACACCAAGGATAGTAAAAATCCACATCGCAACCCATTTGAAGTGCTCAAACGTGTCAAGAGATGCCTTTCCCAAATGAGCCATGACAAGGGAATGTAGAGAGTTGAAGAGTATCACAGAGAGCTTGAGAATTTGGGAGACTTGAAGACCTAGGGTTTTTAGAGAACACCCAAAATTTCAGCCACAATCCATTCAAAACTCAACCCTAATCAAAAGAAAAGTGAGAATCTAGGGTTTGGTGAAGTGTTTTTGAGCTTGGAAGAGCGTAGATGGAGGGGAGAGAGCTTCGGAGCTTGAGATTTGGGGGAAATGTGAAGGGTTTCTCAAAAAATTCTAACTTAAAACCCTCGTTTTTAAGCTTCTGGGCAAGACCTTTTGGAAGGTTTTGCTTACTGCTGAGGCACCACTGTCCAGTAGGCAAGAACTTCCGAAAGGTCGATCAAAACCTTTTGGAAGATTTTTCACACCGGACAGAACCTTCCGGAAGGTTTTGCCTTTGCTGCAAAACCATTCCTTTGCTTAAAAAATCACATCCAATCCAACTTTCCTCAACTCCAAAACATTTTAACACCCTATCTATGACATCTATCCTACCAAAAACTTGAATCACACATATGAACCACAATTGATTGATCATGCCCAATGTCATTTCCGAATTTGTAACATGATTTACAAGTTTGATGTTTTCAAACTACAAGAAATGGATTTCTAATTTTAACTACCAAAATGGATACCCAAAATATAAAACATGAATTCAAATAATAAGGGTATTCCTAAGTCTTATCAAATATTGAAAGTTGAGCAATATTCCCCTATCCTTTAAGCATAGGGCTACGAAACACATTGCTCAAATGCCCGAAATAAGCACACATGAGCTTTATCATGGCTTTAAATACTATTATAGAGTATGCAAATTCACAATCATTTTGAAACTTGTCTGTGTGTGAAATGGACATGTATTTGAAGCATTTACACAACAGAGTTCACATTCACTTTAGCTATCTAAATTAAGCTTTGATACAACCACACCAAGGGTCTCTCAACAAAGAATCACATTATAGTTATCCTGGCATGCCCTTCATTTGTATATGTGAGATAGAATCTTGTGTACAAAATGAAGTATGCTCACATATAATCCAAAAATGAAATTCATGCATGAAAATGAAACAACCTTGGCATAATCTCATGAAAGAAATGCTAGGGCATTAGATAGCAAAATCAACCTTTTTTTTTCTTTAAAAGTAAGCTATCCCCATGCTTTCTCTAGATCATTTAGGACTTTTGAGGGTTATAATGGGGCCTTGGGGTGATATTGAGGCAAATGAAATGAAAGATATAGGATAACAAAGAGGGTTATTCCGAGTGAATGACTTTTATTTCAAAAACATCTCATTTTTCATGGGATTTTCAGTCTATCACCATTACCGCACTCTTTGTTTCTTTTCTTTCTTTTCCTTAACATTTTCCTTTATTTTTGATCATTTTTTCTTCCTTCACCCCCTTTTTTCTCCTTTTCTTGGATTTTCATTCTTTTCCGTTCAACTCTTTGAATTCAACTTCATTCATCCCCTTTGTTGAGTTTCTTCCATACTTCCTTCTCTTTTATGATCACTCATACTCAACACTAGGAACAACCAAGGTGAGGTAGATTTTATTATTTTGCACTGTCTTGGTCAAATGTGTGGGCATGGAAACAAATTTAAAGGCTCAATCACGACACTAGGGATAAAATTTTCACCAAAAAAAAAGGCAAAGGCTCATAGCAAATCAAGGATGGTCCAAGATAGGAAGCGGAGAGCATTGTACATATCAAGACAGATTCAACCAACTACCCAAATGCGCCTAACCAAAATAAGCATAATGAGATTATTGAACACTTTTGGAATCAGAAAAATTGTTCCTTGAGTAAATGTAAGTTCCCTCCAACAAGGATTGACACTAAAGCTCTCATGGGTTCTTACTCATCTCTACTATTTATGTCTAGCACTAAAATGTGAACTCAATCCCTAAATTGCCGAAATTACACATTCAATGAGTACATATTAGTGAGTTCAAAAGCAAACGCATATATGATACTCAAACATATGATGAACTTCTATAATGTGCTCATGTATTTAAAGTTCAACATGAAGATCAACATATCAACAAACCCACAACACTCTTAATAAGGGAATACAGATCAACATTCAGATATTTTGACAAAAAAAAATTCAAAATTTTCACATAATTTGCAACTATTGTAAAAAAAAATTTGTATGATATGTGAAAGGTGAATTTTAACCACAAAAATTGGTATTATCAACAAAACTTTTCACAAAAATTGGTGTATTGTACAAATGGTGCACCTCACCATTTGTATGTAAAAGTATGAGTAGGGTTAGAGAACACCTCACACTTGAGATTTGACAAAAGACACCAATATCTGCAACTTAAGAAAAACAACACTATACGCAAAGATAAAGTAAGAAAACATAAACAGATAAAGTAGGTACAGATGACTGTACACTAAAAACCATAAGAATAGTTAATTCTCCAACAAGTCTAGGTAAACTGGATCCACCAATTTTTTTACCACCCCTTGACCTTCAAACCCCATAAATAATGGTTTAAGTCTTTGGCCATTGACCTTGAATGTCATCCATCTTTGGGGTTTGTGACTTCTACAGCTTCATTAGGGTAGGCCACCTTAACAAGATAGGGGTCATCCCAATAGGATTGGAGTTTTCCTTAAAAGATCGCGAGATGAGAATTGTATAAGAACACTTTTTATCTAGGCTCAAATGATTTTCTTACAATGAATTTATCATGAAAGGTCTTAGCCATATCTTTTGAAATTTTAGAGCTCTCATACGCATCTCTTCCAATTCATTCATTTCAAGCTTCCTATTCTCTCCGGCCATTCTCAAATTGAAGTTTAAAGTCTTTATAGCCTAATAGGCCTTGTGCTCCATTTCAACTGGCAAATGGCAAGCCTTACCATAGACAAGCCGATAGGGAGATATACCTAGGATAGTTTTGTATGTAGTGCAGTAACCCCATAGGGCATCGGTTAGTCTAAATGACCAATCTTTCTTATTCGGGTTTACCATTTTTTCTAGGATATTTTTGGTCTCCCTATTGGCCAACTCAGCTTGACCATTTGTTTGTGGGTTTTATACGGTGGACACCTTATGTGTGATGCCATACTTTATGTATTAAGGATGCAAATAGCCTATTACAGAAATGCGATCCACCATTACTTATCATAGCATGAGGCATCCGAAACCTGAAAAAAATGTTCTCCTTGAGAAACTTGACCATAACCTAATGGTCATTGGCCTTGGTTGGGATAGCCTCCACCCATTTGGACACGTAGTCCACTACCAGTAAAATGTATAGGTAGCCAAACGACACGGAGAAGGGACCCACGAAGTCGATGCCCCAACAATCAAATATCTCAATAACAAGTACAGGGGAGAGGGTCATCATGTTACTTTAGGTCACACTACCCAATCTTTGGCACCTATTACATTCCTTAAAAAATGAAACATAGTCTTTATTTAATGAGGGCCAATAAAAACTTGGCTGTAGAATCTTTGCCGAAGTCTCCTTAGAAGAGAAGTGGCCACCGTACTCTTCCAAGTGGAAAAATGCAAGGACATCCCATTATTCATTTTTTGGTATGCATCTCCTCATGACTTGGTCAGGGCAGTACTTGAACAGGTATAGGTTTTTGAAGTAAAAGTAGTTCACATCTGCCATAATCCTTCGTTTATCTTTTGTGATCTAGTGCGATGGTATTTGTCCTCTAGCAAGATAATTACATATGTCAACATACGAGGGACAAATAGAATGAATCAAAAGTAAATGTTTGTCAGGAAAAGAGTCAAGGATAGGAATATGCTCATCAACATCTTGCACCACAAGTCGGGACAAATTGTCCGCCACCACGTTTTCCACTTATTTCTTGTTTTTGATCGTCAAATTGAATTCTTGTAGGAGGAGTATCCACATAATGAGTCTCGATTTTGCATGCTGCTTAGACAATAGATACTTCAAAACATAGTGATCGGTATAGACTACTATAGGTAAACCGATGATGTAAGACCAAAATTTATCCAATGCAAATACTATGCTACTAACTCTTTTTCTTTGTTGGTATAGTTCATTTGAGCTTCATTAAGAGTTTTGCTAGCATAGTATATTACAAAAGGTCTCTTATCCTCCTTTTGACTAAGCACTATGCTGAATGCGTAATCACTCGCGTCGCACATAAGCTTAAATGGTGAGTCCCACTTGGGTGGTCACATAATTGGAGGTGTAGTGGGCATCCTTTTTTAGTTTTTTACACGATGCCTCACAATTATTCGACCACACAAATGGGACATTTTTTGAAAGAAAATTGGTCAAAGGTCGCGTCAATGCACTAAAGTCCTTAATAAAATGACAATAAAAGCGGCATGGCCAAGAAATGACCTGATGTCTTTGATGACCGTCAGTATGGTGAGGTTGGAAATTCCCTCAACCTTTGATTTGTCGACTTCAATCCCCTTTGCCAAGACAATTTGCCCAAGCACAATTCCTTGTGTCACCATGAAGTGGCACTTCTCCCAATTGAGGACTAAGTTCTTCTCTTCGCATCTTTCAAGAACTCTCTCTAAATTCTCCAAACAACCACTGAAGGAATCCCCAAACACTGAGAATTCCTCCATAAACACTTCCATGATCTTCTCCACCATATCAATGAAAATTCCCATCACGAATCTTTTAAAAGTCCTTGGGGCATTACACAACCCAAATGGTATACGTCGGTCAGCAAAGGTACCATAGAGGTAAGTGAAGGTGGTCTTTTCTTGATTCTCCAATGCAATCTCAATCTGGTTGTCAATAAGCATATAATATTGCATATTTAACGATCTCATTACATGAATTTTAACTTAACTTTGCATTTAATTACTTAAAATTAGTCAAAGTTATGAATAATGTGGAATGTTTTATGTTGTAGGTAATTATAGGGTAAATGATGGCTATTGGAACCATGCAACTAAGTATGAATAGGTGGTGAAGAGATGAACACATTACATGAGAATTTGGAGGCTTGTAAA